TTCTGTGTCTCCCTCTCTCTCTGACCCTCCCCCGTTCATGCTCTGTCTCTGTCTCAAACATAAATAAACGTTAAAAAAAATTAAAAAAATAAAGAAACACATGGACACACGGAGAGAAGGCCACGTGACAACAGAGGCAGAGGTGGGAGTAACACATCTATAATAAGTCAAGGAGTGCCAAGGACTGCCAGCAACCACCGGAAGCAAGGAAGAGGCGAGGAAGATTCTCCTAGAGCCTTCTGAGGGAACGTGGCTCTGCCCGCACCTTGAGTTCACACTTCTGGCCTCCAGAACTATAAAAGGATACATTTCTGTAGTTAGAAGCCGCTCAGTTTGTGGTAATTTGTTACGGCAGCCCTGAAAAATTAATAGATGTGCCTAGAAGACCAAATACATAAAGCAATGGAGTGAGGAGGGCTGTTGTCAGGAGGGAGCCCCAAAGCGGACCCAACTGCAGAGCACAGCCTACAAAAGGGGCAGCCAATTGTTGCCAGGAGGCGGTGATGTGGCCAAATATGCCGATTTTTCTAGATAAGGGAAAAATCCCTACTTTTATATGAAACCTCGGATTTTCAAATGTCAAGCCAAGTGGGTTTGTTTGCTTTGTTCTTGTTTTTTGCTTTTTTTGAATCAGTATGGGCCAGATAAGACCAGACCAACCTCCCCTATTTTGCAGGTGAGAAACTGAGACCCAAGCGACAAGGTGATTTATGTCTACAACTCAAGTGAGTGCCAAGGCTGAAACCCACACTGCCCTCTGCCAGGCTGCCCTCCTGCCACCCACCACACCACACAGCCTTCCCTCCCGGGAGTAGCAGGTGACAGAACACTCACCCCACTCGGGAGTCACAGCTCTCCTCAAAGAGGGGACTCCCGGGCTGGAGGGAACAGGCACAGACCAAAAAATGCTTTCATCCTCCCGGCTGCCATGGGGGCCAACGGTCCCTGCCAGGCGAGGTTCCCAGAAAGGAGCTGCACAGGCTCACGCAGAGAAGTCTCAGCCACAGAGAGGGAAAGGGATGGGTAAGGACCTGCGGAGGCATGGGATGTGGGGACAGGGAGGGTAAGCTACGAGTGTGACGTCTCAGGAAGGAATACAAAGAGCCTCACGTGGCAACATCGGTGAGTCTTCAGCAGCGGGCATTTCCCACCAGGTTAAGGAGCAGGCCAGCCAGGCGGGGAGAGTCTGCAGTGAGCACAAAGGTATCCAAGCAAAGCAGTTATTGCTGGAGAAAAGGAGTGCCAGCAAAACAATGCCAATAAGATGCCAGGGCAGACAGGCCTTCATCAGAAACGTGGCACTGACTCGCCCCAGAACGCCATGCCTGTTTGGACAGATTTTTGCTTTCTGATACATGTTCCAAAAGCTCTGAGAAATGAGGAGAGGCCTATTCGGTTCTGTTTGGACAGTGCCTGGTGTGGTACCAAATGTCAGCAGCCCCTGCAAGCTGCTCCCTTGTGCCAGCGAAGATAACAGTGCCAAGGCCACAGCTACACGCTCAGAGACCGCACACCATCACTTCCGAGCAGCACCTACTCTCATGTGACGGGGAGGTCTCTCGCGAGAACAGAAGAGTAATAAACACAGTGCTTTGTTTCATGGTTTTTGTTGGGGGGGGGGGGGGGGGCGCTGTTTTTGTGTTTTGGTTTTGGGTCTTTTTTCGTGGGGAGAGAGGGGTCCTTTGACAAGATACAAGAGAACCTTTGCTAAAAGTTGTTCATGATGACCAGAAGTGAAATTCACAGCACTGCTTGGATCCAGCGAGCCCATTATGCCACGTGGCTCAACGGCCCCTGCCCCTCCTCCCTCACAGGTCTTCGGCAGTGGTCTTCCGCCAGGCTCGAGGCAGATGTGGGCAGGGGGAGGTCTGTGACTCCCACCAGGAACTCTGGCTGGTAGAGATGTCTTCATGCCAGGGCGGCTTGGTGAGACCCCCTAACACGCACACACATGCACGTATGCACACACACACACTGCCCACACAGCAGCATTAAAGACAAAAAGCACAGTCGATCCGAAAGGACAGGGACTCCTGTGTTAACACATAAGCAATATGCAGAGGCATGCCTCTCTGCTGAGCCCTAATCCGCCTGGCATCTGTGCCCCGCTATTTGCATAAGTAAATGGCAGCTCATTAAGAACACATTAGTAGCTCTGTAACCATGTAAGGAAACCAACCTAGTGAACCTTAAGCCACTGGAGGTTTCTCTGATTCAGCTCTGCAGCCTTGGAGGCATGAAACAGAGTCTGTCATCTGCCGTCTATCTGTCCAGCAAGAAAAGAAAGAATAAACCTTTATGGTAACACAGAAGAGACTTAATAAATATTTGCTGAGGAGTGAGTAATGGTAGGCCAGGCTTGCAAAGGGCAAATCTTACTAAAAATAGAGAAATGTTTGGACCACATTGTTTTGAGGAGGCATTCTCCCATGTGTAGCCATCCACTGAAGGCTCGAGGACAGTGGTTGCAAATCAAAAGTCCTGATTCAAATCACCGGTTAGCTTTTCTGACATCTTGCCATGTGATGACCAGTTCAGGAAGTCACAGACAGGGCCCAGGAATCTGAAGTTTTAAATTTTTTTTCTTTCAACATTTATTTATTTTTGGGACAGAGAGAGACAGAGCATGAACGGGGGAGGGGCAGAGAGAGAGGGAGACACAGAATCGGAAACAGGCTCCAGGCTCTGAGCCATCAGCCCAGAGCCTGACGCGGGGCTCGAACTCACGGACCGCGAGATCGTGACCTGGCTGAAGTCGGATGCTCAACCGACTGCGCCACCCAGGCGCCCCAGGAATCTGAAGTTTTAAAACGCCTCCACGAATTTGCTCCTCTGTTTAAAAACCACTGCCTTAAGCCTTCCTCATGTTCAGAAATGCAAAATGGGTACCACCTAGGACGTTATTAGAAATACAGAGTCTCAGGGGCACCCGGGTGGCTCAGTCAGTCAGGCGTGGGACTCCTGATCTCGGCTCAGGTCATGATCTCCAGGTTTGTGGGGTTCGAGCCCCATATTGAGCTCTGTGTTGACAGCGTGGAGCCTGCTTGGGATTCTCTCTCTCTCTCTCTCTCTCTCTCTCTCTCTCCCCCCTCCCTCCCTCCCCCTCCCCCGCCCTATTTGCACTTTCTCTCTCAAAATAAATAAACTAAAAGAAAAAGAAATACAGAGTTCAGGCCCCACAAAGACCTGCTGAGTCAGAACCTGCATTTTAACAAGCACACAGTGATTCTCTGGCACATGAAGTTTGAGGAGCATCACTCTAGAGGCGGGTGGGGGTGGGGGGACTCTGCATGACCCAGGTGGGCTCTCCGATGGCTGCATAGTCGCCTGAGCACTGCCCGGGGGCCTCAAGTCTCACCTCACCCACCTGCAGGGCACACAGGTTGTTCAATAGCCAGCCTCAGAGGTCCTTGATGCCCAGAGATTCCCGGATGTCCGAATCCCAGGACACACTGAAGCTGAGCGCAGACCTCAGCAATCCCGGTCTGTGTACATAGGCCCAGCATGAAGGCTGCCTTCAGAAGCACGGACTGGAAGCCTGGGAAGAGCAGGGGTCTGAGCTCATTTCTCTGCTTCAGTGCGTGCCCCTGCAGCGTGGGACCCAAGGAGCCGGGAAGCCCCGGGCCAGCAAATCCCAGGCTGGCAGGGACCTCTCAGGAAGGGCGGGCAAGTTCAAGAGCATTCTGTACCGGTCTCCAGTGCCCTCAGGAGCTGCCAGCGGTTTGATTACCCTAGGTGGGCTGCCCGGGAGTGACCAACCTATTGACTTCCGGTGCAGGCAAACAAGACAGGCCCTGCGTCTGCCAGGAAGACAATGTCCCTCCTCTTCTTCACCCCAGCTCTGACTCAGGCCCCCACGCCACGGTAAGGCCATCAGGGGTTTTCTCAAGCGCCTGCCCTCCACACCCCCGTGGTCCTGCACCCTGCACTGAAGGGTCAGAACACCAGGAGCCAGAGATGAAGCAGAGGCTCCCGAAACCCAGCAAGTGCCAACTGCATGGGTATTTTTAGCCCAGATCCCTCTGGAAAGGCAGCTCATGCAATCCTACTCTGTCAGCACTCCCTTCCTCTCTTGTCCCAGGAGGAGCAGGTGTTGCCTTGGTAACCCTTGGTGTGGATCTGCTGCTCCGGGGACACCTGTAACTCACCCCCAGGTATCTGGCAGAGGGACCCAGGGGGCCCTCACCTGCAGGCTCTGGCCTCCTTCTCTGTGCAGAGTCCCCAGGGAGCGGGGCCTCAAAGACTCAGGAATGCAGGAAACCTGTGCAGTCCTCACAGTGGCCTCCGTGGGAGACCCTGGGACTTTGGGCTTTCAAAGATATTTACACACACACTTAACGCATTAAACGTGCACAAACCACACACAGTTAAACACGCATTAGAACAACACGTAGGGCTAATTCGGCTCGGGTCTTCACATTTTCCCAGAATCCCTGCTTGCAGAAAACGGTTTCCTCAGCTTGTTCGGGGCTTAATTATTCACGTGAGGTGACTCTGCGGGGAAACAGGGGTCAGAGAAGTAGGCCCTGCTCCCCTCCTCCTCTCCTCCCTTCTTCCTCCTCCCCCCTCCTCCCTCTGCTAGTTGAAGACTTTCTCCTTGAAAGGGGGTGGGGGCCGGGGCCAGTTGTTGCTTTGAGTCCCACAATTACTAGGCAGTGGCACTCACTCCTTCTTTTATTGCTTCTTCACTTTTTCCTTAATTTTATTTTATTTTTTAAAAAAAAAATTTTTTTTTCAACGTTTATTTATTTTGGGGACAGAGAGAGACAGAGCATGAAGGGGGGAGGGGCAGAGAGAGAGGGAGACACAGAATCGGAAACAGGCTCCAGGCTCTGAGCCATCAGCCCAGAGCCTGACGCGGGGCTCGAACTCACGGACCGCGAGATCGTGACCTGGCTGAAGTCGGACGCTTAACCGACTGCGCCACCCAGGCGCCCCCTTAATTTTATTTTAAAGAGAGAGCATGCAAGCGGGGGAGGGGGCAGAGGGAGAGAATCTTAAGCAGGCTCCATGCTCAGCCCAGAGCCTGACGCACAGCTCAATCCCACAACTCTGGCATCATGACCCAAGCAGAAATCAAGGATCTGGCACTTAACTGAGCCGGCCGGGCGTCCTGCTTCTTCACTTTTCATCAGGTGCCTGGTGCAGTTGAGTCCTAAGTCTCCGGTTCACTCCCCTCACGTGCTCCCACCTCTCTGCAGTAATGAACTTGGAGTGGTGTGAACGGGCTGTTAGTGGGCTTGGAGCACAGACAGGGAAGGTGTGTGGCTGCACATCCCCCAAACCTGAAACAGGCAGAAACGGAAGTCACGGGAGCCCGGCGGCCGCAGGTTCGAAGGCGGATTTAGCTGTTTGACCGACTGAAGAAGGAATCATCACCATCCCATTCAATTAGCTGCATCCTGCTTTTGAGGCTGGTTACTTGAGGGCCTGGGAACACAAAATATATTAACAGAACAATCCACAAAATCTTCAGTAATCACACTGATTTTCTTTTATTCTCCCACAATGAAAATAGCTCTGTTGGGTTTTTTTTTTTTATGGTTATATAAATAATAGCTGCTTATTACTAAAAAAAAATTTAAACTCTACAGGAAGGTATTGGGAGGGGGGAGAAAGTCAGGATCGCCTGCCACCCAGACATAACCACTGCCTGCTTTTGATGACCAGCTTTCACATCCCTCATGCTTCTTGCACAGACATGTGCAATTTTAAATAAATGGAATTATATTACAGACGCTGCAGGTTTCTTTCCTTGTGTTACAGAGTGTTTGTGAGGTTACCTTGCTGTCTCTTCACCCGACGGCCCCTCCCCAGGCACCTACTCTCAACAGCCTGTTGTATCAGACAGGCTCGGACAGGAGCAAGTCCCCATGCTCATATCTGCCATGAAGGACCTGGTCTCCTGCTCCTGGACCATCCCGCCACACTGCCATCGCTGAGACCAAAACTATTTCAGTCTCTGTTCAACAACCCAGGAAAAGTGATCCTACAAAACCCTAAGTCACTTCAGTGCTAGAAATGGCCCAACAGCTTTCCATCTCTCGTCAAGATCATAACAAAGGCCTGGAAATAAGCCACAAGGTCCTGCACGATCCACCTCTCCCTAAGTGTCATCTCCTGCCATTCTGCCTGTGCACCCTCTGCTCTGGCATTACTGGTCTCCTTTGCCACAGGGTCTTTGCACCTATCATGTCCCCTGCCTAACCCACTCTTTCACTAGGTACTTACAAGGCTCCTTCTCTCACCTCCTTCTGATCTTCATCTTAGCATCACCTTCTCCGTAAGGACTTTATTTGCCACTCCATTTAAAATTGTACAATCTTCCCCCAACATTCCTTCTCCAGACACCTTTCTCCAGCCAACGTGCCATACATAGATTTTACTCATTTATGATCTGCATCGCCCCACCAGGAGGCAGACTCGGTGACAACAGGGTTATAATCTGATTCTGTTTGTGCACTGCTGTACCTTCAGCACCCAGAAAGCACTGCCACAGGTACGTGCTCAGTATTTGTTAAATGCGTGACTCACAGGATCTCCAGGGTGAAGCAGGGGGCCTAGATAATCAACGAGGGCTTGTTCAGTGACTGCAAGTTCCTCCTACAGCTACACTTGCAAGGTCAAATGGTTCCATGAGCCTTGCTGTTCACAAGAGTAGGCAAATGACTTTTTATTCCTAGGGTACGCCCTCTGCTCCACAGACTCCAGAAGCCACAGGTCACTCCTCTCCGGCTGAGTCAATAGCTCAGATGATCCAAGATGGGCTCCACATGGGGAACCTGGGGTACCCCTGCCTCTGAGTCCTTCAAGGTGTCTCCAGTGGGCTTCCCCATCAGTATCCCTTCATCGAGCCCCTCCCTCCCATGCCTTCACATAGATGTGGCTTCTGTGTCTTTCGGTGAAAGCCAGCCAGTCTTCCAGCTCAACTTTGTGTAGGACCCACCAGCCAGCAGCAAGCCAATGGTCATCCTGAACTCTTGACCAACACTGCAGCTCCCTATAATCCCACCCCGTCCCTGACTGCAGAGAGGAATCCAGAAACATCAGCCTCCTTCCTAGGGCACAGAGGAGGTGACTGCAACAGATAACTTGAACCTGTTCGTGGTTGGTTTGTCTTATGTTATGGTTTGTGTCTTTGTTTGACCGTTAATTATTATTATGTAATATGGACTATCTTTTAATTTTTTAATGCTTTATTTTTTGAGAGAGAATGAACGCAGGGGAGGGGCAGAGAGAGAAGGGGACAGAGGATCAGAAGCAGGCTCCTCACTGACAGGCTGACAGCAGCGAGCCCAACATGGGGCTCAAACTCACAAACCATGAGATCATGACCTGAGCCAAAGTCAGACGTTCAACCGACTGAACCACCCGGGTGGCCCATGGACTATCTTTTAAAACCTTATTACCTGGATAATAGAGGCAAGGCAACAAATGTATAAAAGTTCAACCTCTTTTGAATTGTAATCTGTTCTACAATTAACTTGAGGGAAGTGGTGGGATTGGTATGGATGGGGAGACAGTGGATCAGGGACTCCTTTGTCCCTGGTTTGAGAGCTTCTGACATCTGGCCAGAGAGTCTGTCTATGGAAAGAACACACATACAAAGAGACACACATAGAGACACACACATACACACACACGCACAACATTCACAACCCAGATGGCAGGAGCCTGAGTGCCAAGCTCTCTCTGGCAAAGGCTGCCTGCCTCCACTCTCCCACCATACCCAGGATCAGAAGTACAGAAGACTAAAAATTTCTAAATGCTGCCCCTGGCCTTGCTGTTGGAACACTCTCTCAAAATGAATACGTATTTCAGCTACCACCAGAGCCAGTCCAACTTCCCTCCCTGATGCTCTCCACTGCCTCCTTGGAGAAGGAAGGGCCAGCCCCCTCCCAAAGCCTTCTACCTTCTTCTTCCAGGAAAAAGCTACTCAGACTTGTCAACAGGGAGATCAGGAAGGGAAGGAGACTAGGCCACTCTATCGTGCCCAAATCCCTGCCAGCCGACAGGCAGATGGCTCCCTCTATCACAGGAAGGGGGTGGGTGGCCAAGGTGGATGTGGGCCCCTTAGTCAGTTCAACATTTGGAGGAGTATCTTCTCCCAGGGTGCAGCAGGATTAAATTTTTAAAGACTAAAATATAACTGATTTACAATAAATGTGAAGGTGGGAGCACTCGTGAAATGTGTAGTTCTACCAGTTGTAGGATTTCTTCAATGTAATTATGTCTCTTTCAACTACATAGAGTAATATGAACTCCAGGCTAGACATCACACATAAAACAGCTCATTTAATATAAGCAGCCTGCAAGGTAAATATTATGATGTCATTTTATACTGATGAGATAAGTCATGTTCATTGAGGCTAGAGGCTCACAGTGGATAGGAGGTATTCTTGTAACTATTTACACCGCATTAATCTCAGATGGATGGATGGATGGATGGATGGATGGATGGATGGAAGGAAGGAAGGGAAGGCAGATGAATGGATGGATGGGCAGATTAGTAACAGAAGAAAAGGCAACTAGACCACATTACTTCCCAATATACTAATAGTATGCTACTTAAAGGAATGAATTCGATTGATTAGTAATTAGCATTTCCACAGCTGAGAAAAAGGGAAGCAGGAAGTGGAGGAACTACTGTTATTAGAACCTGTGCTCTGGACCCAGACTGCCCAGGTTCAAACCTCAAACCTCAGATCCACCATCGACTAGCTGGATACCCTTGGGCTAATTATTTTTCTCTGCACCTCAGTGTCCTCATCTGTAAAATGGGGATGTTATAACTTATGTTATTGTGAGAATTGCATGAGTAATGTAAAATAGTATGTCGAGTATTTGGAACTTTGTCTAGCACCTAGAGGGTGCTCCGTGAGTGTTGCTGTTGTTATCCACATTTCTCAGGAAGAAACGGAAGCCCAGGGAGGAAGATGATGCTTATTTTGCAATTACTCCAATAATACCACTTTCTATATTGATTGTTGGCAACCCTTTATCCAGTCACGGTGCTACAAGAACATTTCAAGTCAATTCTAGCCAAACAATCCTCAGTTGCAGTGAGGACCTATATATATTTTTTAATATTTATGTATTTATTTACTTATATTTATTTTTCTTAACGTTTTATTTATTTTTGAGACAGAGAGAGACAGAGCGTGAACAGGAGAGGGGCAGAGAGAGAGGGAGACACAGAATCGGAAGCAGGCTCCAGGCTCTGAGCCATCAGCCCAGAGCCCGACGCGGGGCTCGAACTCACAGACCGTGAGATCGTGACCTGAGCTGAAGTTGGACACTTAACCAACTGAGCCACCCAGGCGACCCTACTTATATTTATTTAGAGAGAGAGAGAGAAAGAGAGAGAGCGGGAGAGAGACAGAGAGGGAGACACAGAATCCCAAGCAGGCTCCACACTATCAGCATAAAGCCCTACGACGGGCTCGAACTCACAAACCGTGAGATCACGACCTGAGCTGAAGTCAGAGGCTCAACTAACTGAGCCGCCCAGGCGCCCCTGCAGTGAAGTGAACACTGACACTGAGTGGGATATATAAAGACTACAAGCAGGTCAGCATAAGCTCAGGTTAGGTTTTGCCACTAAATCAGTTTTGCAAACAAATAGAAAAGCTTTGGGCTTTCAGAGCTTTTTGGACACCAGAAAGGCAGACAAGGAATGGTGGACCTGGAATGAACGATGAGCTATGTTTCCCCCTTGTCCAGGCTGCTATGAACAGTTTGTACCCGGGCACCTGGGGTGTTCAGTTGGTTCAGTGTCTGACTTCAGCTCAGGACATAATCTCGCAGTTTGTGGGTTCAAGCCCCAGGTTAGGCTCTGTGCTGACAGCTCAGAGCCTGGAGCCTGCTTTGGATTCTGTGTCTCCCTCTGTCTCTCTCTGCCCCTCCCCAACTCACACTCTCTCTCTCTCCCTCTCTCTCTCTCTCTCTCTCTCTCTCTCTCTCTCAAAAATAAATAAATGTTAAAAAAAAAATTTTTTTTAAGAGTTTGTATCTCATCAACGTTTGCTCAGCACTCACTGTTCTAAGCTGTTTACGTGAATGGTCTCATTTGGTTCCCAGAACAACTATAAAGGATAAGCAACCAGCCCAAGGTCAAGCACCATTTGTGATTAGCTAACAAAGTTTCCCAGCCAGTGAGGCATTTTCAATCCAGTTGATCCTTGAACAACACAAAGGGTTCAGGCATCAACCCCCATGCAGTTGAAATCCACATATAACTTCTGACTCCCCCCAAACTTAACTACTAATAACCTACTGTTGACTAGAAACTTCACCAGTAACATACACAGGAAATTAACAAATTTTATACCTTATATGTGATATATATGTGTTTTTACAATACAGTAAGGTAGAGAAAAGAAAATGTTGTTGGAGTGTATGCGAAGTGTCTGGCACATAGTGAGTGCTGT